AATATACCGAAGGAGGAATGTCTGTTTTGCCACAATAGTTTGAGTATTGAGTGCACACTTGCTGAGAACTATAAATATAGGAGTTTCAGGCAGAGTTCCAGTGCCTCCTGAGGAAAGAGATAGAGTGCTTATGTCCAGCTCACCGTCTCCCTGTACAGTCATGGAACTCAGCCCAAAGAACAATGTGACTAACAGTGGCACAGTTTGCTTCCTCAGTTTACCACCTCAAGATAGTGTTCTGCAGACATGCTTGGGGGTCTGGATCTTGTCAATTTGAAGATGAATTATCACAGTGCCCACAAAGCATTATGGTCATTTTGGGGTTTTAGTCTATGGTAGAGCCAACCTCTCTGCTGCTGGATAGCCTTCTCCTGTGCACTCAAATGACCACTTCGACTGTCTTCCTGGTGATGCAAAATAAGCAAACTCTGTCCCTGTAGTTCCTTGGGATGTTTGTAGTAGTATCTTCTTGGTCATCTTGTGACCATTAAGTCATGCTTTAAAGGACATCCACAGGTTAGACTGCCAAACAACCAGCAGGACCTAGTCTGACCTCACTGCAACACTAGCATTGTCATGGTAAGTAAAGGCCTTATGTGTGTCTTTAGCTTGTAGCCCCCTATGCTCCTTCATTTGACTAGCATACTAAGTGCTTGAGTCAAGGGAGGTTAGAGGCTGCCATCTGCCTCAGACCCTGTGACTTGATAGGTAAGACAATGTCTGTATTCTGGCCCATCTTTGGTGCTTTTTGAGGTATTCTAGGCTCATCTTCCAAGATACACAGGCTGGGTTCAAGAGTTCCCTTAAATTATTGCCTATGTTCCTCAAGATAAAGGACATTGACTCCTGGGGGTCAGCTCTCCAGGCACCTATCTGAACACAGAACGTGCCTGCCTTGTGTGCTGTCATTACTTGAATATCTCACTCTTGGCATGGTCTGACCTATCTCATCTCTTATGAGTGCATGTTGTTATAATTCAAGACGTCTTTGCCCCAAAATGGTTCACTATAGCTTCTTCAGTAGGCCCATAGCCTAAACCCCTCAGAAGGATATCTGCTTCTCCCAGATTCTCTATTATGCAAATGGGTTTGGTACTAATTTTAGGTGATGCTTGTAGGCTAATGCAAAATGTCGACTGGATTGTGAAACATGTATCCCTGAGACACAGGATTCCACTTCCAGCCTTCAGTCTTCCCTCTTATTACGTCTTGCCCCTATCCTTCTCTAGCCACTTCCTCCACTTTGTTAGTTCCCATGTTGTCCTGTGATCCCTTCCACCTGTTACCTTATTATTGATGCTGTGTCCTAGAACACAGTGTCTTCACAGTGTGGCCTAACCCCAGCCATGTCCCCATCCTCAGCCCTGGGTATACTAGGTCTTCTGTATTCACCAACTGTCTCTCCCTCACGCAGCTCATGAGACTGACAAGATCACTGGGAGAGAACTGGACAGAACCTCTCATAGATACAATAGGAATCTTACTATGACATCGGAATCAGATCTATAGCCCATGGACAGATAGATCCTTGTTTGTCTTTAGGCCTTCCCTCTGTTTAGTTTGCCTTATGGGAAAACAGTCCAGCAGCAGCAGAACCATCCTGTTCATTAGGTTTAGTAACATTAACTAATTTCACACTTTTACCCACCTCAAATAAAACCCAGTTTAAACCATAGGCAGTACTGTGAGCTGACAGTCACTTCTTGTTCCCTTAGTGTTACCTGAATGTGTTGACAATACAATTTCACCTCTGGATGAGGGAAAACGACACCTGAAGGTGGTAAAGGTAAGAAGGCCTTTCCTTTCTCTCTTCTAGAAAACTTACTTCAATGGTCCCCGTATGGTTCAGTGGGTATCACAATGGAATCATGACACTGATCAGTTACATCACATTTTAATGCTCCTCATGTTTTAAAGATCTCACCAGCTCAGGATTCAATATGCACACACTGGACACATGGCGCTTTCCTTCAACACAGCAAACATTGGGGCATACATTCAAATTATTTCTACCATAGACCACAGAAACAGAAAACAGCTTAGTGAAAATACAAGTTTTCAGAGGTTGTATGTGATGTAGGTTAGGGAATCCTCCATAGAGATCAGACAAGTTTTCCTGGTCTGTGTTTGAAGCATAGAAACGTGTGGAAAGTCGTTTTCATAAAGTTCAGAGCTTCAGATCTTCTGTTACATCACTGAATAATGGACCCACTAACCTAGTCTCCACTTGACTGCTCTTCTCTGTCTGATTGCAACTAGAATATGTCAATGGAAAGACCAAAGACCTTAGCAGACATCACTCAATATGATCTAAGCTTTAAAATATTTTCTCTTTTTTTTAAATTGCAGTTGGAGTCTAAAAAAAGCAAATGTGGTATGTATAATGGAATCACTAAGACACATTTTATATAGTAATTGTGTAACACTTTTTTGTGATGGACAAGTGTGATCTAAGCTGCTTACTGATGCTGTTTTTGGTTGTTGTTGTTGTGTTGTTGTTGTTTTTTTTTTTTAAGAAAGCGACTTTCCAAGTCACAGATAATAGCCATATGTCTGTGGTCACTGTGTTCTACTGTGATCCTTTAGTTAAAAGGAGGTTTGGGTCACCAAGTCATTTTCTAAATCTTTTTGCCCAAGAAAAAGATCCTAATTATCCAAAACACTTTTTTGTATTGTTAATATAATTGTATTGCTGGGCAGTGGTGGCGCATGCCTTTAATCCCAGCACTTGGGAGGCAGAGGCAGGTGGATTTCTGAGTTCGAGGCCAGCCTGGTCTACTGAGTGAGTTCCAGGACAGCCAGGGCTACACAGAGAAACCCTGTCTTGAAAAACCAAAAAAAAATTGTATTAATTTTGGTAAGTTTCTGCAATGTGTTTTGTTTGGAGAGATAAGAATGGAGCCAGGAGGAGTTGGGGTGATGGGCAGGAATGAATAGGATCAAAATAACATTTTCTGGAGTTCTCAACAAATTAAGAAAATATCTCATTTAAAACTGTTGATGAGGAAACAATAAGCAGCCCCAGTACACACTCATTCCTTGGGTAGCCACACAGACTCTCTCACTTCAATTTATTTTGAGGCTTTATAGAAGTCTGACCAACTTTCTTTTTTGTCCAACCTTCCCGAGACAACTTGATTTAGAATGACTGAGAGTCTGAGTCACCACAAAAGACACTCAAGCCTAAGGTGGCTCACCAGAGAACACACTTGGTGAACAGAATCACTGGCTGAGAGGGATCTGACAGGGTGAAGGCACTGGAGAAAGGCTCTATTTACTGATTCAGGGTCCTTCTACAACTTGGAAATTCATATATTGAGTCAGAGATCAAAGGCAGAGCATCTATTTTTTTGGTTATTCTGTCAGAGAATTTGGCCAGGGCATCGTGGATATAACTAATACAGAACCCAGGGATTAAAACACTAGTCTTCTTACCTTCCAGACTCACTTAAATGGATATAATATACAATACATAAGCTGTAAAATATTCCGGGTAGGCAAAAAAATGAAAAGCAAACAACCACTGGGCACTGTCCTGTATCAGAGTCAATCCCTGCTCAGGATTTGGTCCTTCCTGTCTAGTGGGTCTGTCCTCACAATTCACAAACCCCCAGAGCACTTGGATAGTCATGTGCTTTTCGTTATGACTTAACACTATATATTTATCTTTTACACCACCAAGGTTTCTGTGGGTCAGTATGAAATTTCTAGTTTCCTGGCGCAATGATGGGATCGCAGAGGGATTGCAGGAATGTCTGTGGGTCATAATGCTCTAAATGGGATTGAAATGCTGCCTATGAGACACTGTCCCAACATTGCATAATCATGTCGTGCCTCTTTGTGGTCACACCTGAAGTAATTTAGACTTTACCTACAACATCATGTGGTACATAGTAGACTTTATCTACATCATCACGTGACGTATAATCCATTGTACACTAAACTCTGCTCTTCCTGCAGCAGCATTCTAATTACAGTGACTTACCTGAAAAGAAATATGCTCAAACTACAAAAACTTAACTATTATCAGTTTCCTCTGTTTGTTTGCCATGTAGCTGACATAACTCTCCCTGTGAATGCATTCCCAGCTACTTCAATCTTAAAGACATTTCCTCGAAAAGATAGTGTGGCCCCCCTTGATGTGAAGAGATCTCCAGTCCTCCCTGGCACCTCCAGAGAAACAGCCCATGCTACAACAGAAGGTACTGTGGGAATTTACTAATTCTGTACAATTATGTAACTCTATGCAGAAGTTTTGCTGTAGTTTCTAATATGTGGATACTGTTAACTTATCTAGCTTAGTAGAAATACAACCAGAACTTAAAGATGCAGCTGACCATCATCTTTGCTTTTCATTAGCTAATGGCAAACCAGAGGAAAGCTGAGACTTATCTTGTACGACTGACTACTCGAGGCTTCACCTGCAGTAGGCATGAATAACTGAGCCACATGTCATCCACTTTGTCCCAGACATGGATGATGCAGATGTGGAAAGTCTCAAGAATGAGGATGAAATTTGAATTCAATAAAGGCATACCTAGTCAGATCCATTGAGAGACAACCCTAGAAGTAGTCATCTTACAACTTGTGCTTGGGAGACCAAGAGTGTGGGAAAGAACATTAAGAACACAGAAACATTGGAAGTTTCTGTGCATTTTGTCTCTCAAATGTATAATAGTTAACAATGGTAAGGTTGAGTGTGCTTTGCTTCTGGCTCTGTTATTTAGAGGCTGCATTTTCCAGAACACTTAAACCATCCTTCCTCTGCCACTCCCAACACCCAAGTATGTGACTGTTGTTAGAACTCTTTTTGGAAATTTTGTTGGGCCTACTTTCCCAGAAGGAGTGACAAATTACACTGAAAAAAAAAAAAAACATTCTGCAGTGGTTTGAATAGGACTAGCCCCACAACTCCTGTAATTGAATACATGGCCCATAGGGAGTGGCATTTTTAGGAGGTGTGGCCTCGGAGTAAGTGTGGCCTTGCTGAGGAACTGCATCAATGTAGAGGTGGGCCTTGAGCTCTCAGATGCTCAAGCTAGGCCTAGTGTGTCACTCACTTCCTGCTTGCTGCCTGCCAATTCTGACATAGAACTCTCAGCTCCTTCTCCAGCACCATGGCTGGCTGCATGCTGCCATTTTTCCTTCCATGATGATAATGTGCTAAACTTCTGACACTGTGTAAGCCAGCCCCAGTTACATGGTTTGCTTTGTAAGAGTTGCCATGGTTGTGGTCTCTTTTCACAGCAATAGAAACCCTAATTCCGACACATCTGTAGCAAGGAAATGTTTGCTTTGCCATGGAAAGTGAGTTTGGAGCCCATAATTGGGAAGCAGTAGATAGAGGCAGAAACTTAAGGGAGAGTGATATCGCAGCCAAAACCTAGAAGCAAAGAAAAATGAGTGAATGTGCTCCCTTGAGTTCTCTTCCTCTTATATGGCCCAGGATCCCATCCTAGTGCATGATTGTAGCTACAGGAAACAGCTCTTCCCAACATGACTTAATCTAAGCAAAATAAAGCCCAGGGACATGCCTGGAGGACTCAGATCTCATTAGTTGACAGCTGAGATTGGGCATCATGGAGCCAACAAAGTATTAGATTCACTTTTGAGTATTAACCTGTATCAGAGAGAGTTTCTCTGGTAGGAAACAACTTTCTTCCCGCACAAGAACCTGTAGATAAATATCTTTCAGTGTGGGCCCAATGCTGCAGGAGAAGCAGATCCTCTCCCTGGTTCTTCAGCTCTGTTACAGCACTTCAGCTTCTCCCTGTGAAGCACCTCTTGTTGTGGAGTGCCTAAAATGCCAGGATGACTTCTCATTCTGTCAAAACTGTATTGCTGCAATGTCTTTGGAGCAAGGGCTTAATCTATGACTTGTCATGGTTTGTATATGCTCAGCCCAGGGAGTGGTGCTATTAGAAGGTGTGGCCCTGTTAGAGTGGGTGTGTCACTGTGAGTGTGGGCTTTAAGATCCTCATCCTAGCTGCCTGGAAGCAGTATTCTGGTAGCAACCTTCAGATAAAGATAGAGAATTCCCTGATCCTCTTGCAGCAAGCCTGCCTGGATACTGCCATGTTCCCACCTTAAGGATAATGGACTGAACCTCTGAACCTGTAAGCCAGCCCCAATTACATGTTGTCCTTTATAAGACTTGCATTGGTCATGGTGTCTACTCACAGCTGTAAACCCCAAAGAGATGACTTTATGCAGTTTGTGTTCCTCACCTCAGAATGACAGGCAGGACTGGCGTTCTAACCTTCATCTTGGAGCCTCTGACCTAGTTAGGGATTGAAGTGGGATCTGAACTTTAGCACACCCTTGGCTCCTTTCAGGGATTTCTTGGTTTGGTCTCCAACATTCAGAACATGGATTTGGGGGTTCTAGTAAATTACACCTATTCCCAAGACTAATGAACTATAGGTGTGTGGACATCAGGTCTCTTAGCACCTCTCTGGGTATAGGGCTGTTTCTGTCCTCCGAGCTGTCACTATTTGTATCTTTTACTTGTTACAGCTTTACCTGACTTGCCTATTTAGGAGAATGAGTTCATAATCTCAGAACTGTGCTTCCTGCAAGTATCTTCCCTGGAGCTTCTTCATTATGCTCAAGGCCTTTGCTCATCACAAGTATGTCAGCTTCTCCTGCATCTTCTCCTCATTTAGCTGTGTTTGGCTCCACTGTGATAGTATTACTGTTACTCACTGAAAACCCAAAGCCTCCTGCTTGTGTGTAGTGTGTCCTACAGAGCCCCATGATTCAACTTCTAACGTAAGATACCTCATATCTCTCCTTACAGTTTCTTGCCTTTATGCTTCTTCAGATGTTCCCGCCTGTTTTTCAAGTGCCATATTGGCTGGACAATCTGTCCTAGACTATTCATAGAATCCTGGAGGTTTATTCCCGCCACTTACCTTGTTCCTGATACTGCATCGGAGAATACGTTGTCTATAGAATATAGCTTACCCTTTGGCATGCCCCCACCCTCATTCCAGTGAGATCTTTTCTTTCTGTACTATCTCTTTCTCACCAAACTCACTGGGCAGATGAGAACACTAATAGAATAGAGTATAAAACCCTTCTTAGGGATGATATACCCAGAAATGAAGACATTCACATCTTAGCAGTTTATCCTTTATCTGACGGACAAAGCTAAGGGGCTCCTAGTGACTAGCTGTGGCATGGCTATTGTGAACAGCAAAGACAGATGAACTCACTGTCATCCAGAATTCTCATAAACAGAGCAGGACTATACACATTAGAAGAAAAACAAACCCAGAAAACATTGTTCCAAACCATAGGGATAATACGAAGAAGGAATGACTGACAGGTGGCTGTCACATCAGACTCTATTGAAATCACCAGTGCTTTGACACAATTTAGAGCATAATCTGGTCACGAACATGACTCAGTGCTTCACTCTGCCTCCACCAGTAGCTGTGGTGAAAGCAGCATCTCATGTACAGAGCCCCTGTTTTGCATGGGAGGACTGAAATCCCACTTAGATATAGCTGTCCTTCTAGGCTGCTATGAATGAAGACAAATTAAAGTACATGTCCTTCACATTGACCTTGTGGGAAAAAATTCCCCATTTATAGGTCTTATATTTGAATTTTCTTTTAAAGTTTGTGTCAATTGTCCATGTGTACTGCATGGCTTAGGAATATTATAAACTTGAGATAAATATTCATACATAAATTCCAGTTCATCTCTTACAGTTTATTTCCACAAAACTTGTCCACAATATCATCAAAATATTAAACTATCATTCACATACTTAGAAGCCATATATAGTGATTCCATTTGAAAGATTTGAAAACAAAATCAACACACTCTTTCCAATAGTTCTATAGTAGTAACTTCAGGGTAGTTAATGGCTCTGTGGGGAAGAACACTTGCTGGGAAGGCAGTAGACCTGAGTTTGAATCCCCTCACACACTTCCAAAAGCTGGACAGAGCTATTCATACTTGTAATCCTACACTTAATAGGCAGAGGCATTTCCAGTGTTTGCTGGCTGTCAGCCTAGCTCCAGATTCTATGAGAGAGCCTGCTTTAAAGAAAGGAGACTGATAGGTCATGTTATTCCATGCTCTCTTTTAACCTTCATGTCTTCATGTTCACTTGACAGGCACCTACACACACACACACACACACACACACACACACCAAACTCATGTTAAATACATTATATACAACTGCAACCATTTCATAACCAACTTTAGTCACTGTTGTAATGAGGTCAAGTATTTCAAACATCCTCAGGATTCTAATCCCAGAAGTCATGATCTCTTGTGGCTTTCTCATGTATTTCCCTGCTTTTAATATATGTAGCATTCCAGTTACTAGATTTAAGAAGCAGGCTGAGTGAGCTATTGTGAACAAGCCAGTAAACAGCACTCCTTGACGGCCTTTGCATCTGCTCCTGATTCCAGGTTCTTGCTCTGTTTACCTCCTACCCTGACTTACCACAGGAACTGAGTGTAAAGAAAGAGTTGTATCCTGAGATAAACTCTTCCCTCCACAAGTTGTTTATGATCATAGTGTTTAGTCACAGCAATGGACACCTTAAATGAAGACACTATGTAAACCACTGAGGAGCACGGGATTATGTCATTTGCAGAAAATAGATTTAAGTGAATATAATTGTCACATTAAATGTCTTACATTTTTAAAGACAAGGACAGGGTGCTTTTTATTCATTTGAAGGTCTAGGTTTTTATGTAAAATAAAACTACATGTGTATATGATGTGAACAAACTAAAGGTTTCATTGGTCAATAAGGAGGACAAATCAGAGGCGGGATGAGAGAGGAGGCGGGATGAGAGAGGAGGCGGGTGGTGCGGGTACAGTGCACACACACTGTATTCCTATAGAGCTCCTCTAAACTCCACACGCACAGAGGCACATCCATGGTTTCCTTCAACTCAGTCAATGCAATGCACATTTTGAAAGATTTATTTATTCTTTACACAATAAGATTGTCCTTCCACGTTGATTTGCAACATTTTGTTTCCGACAATGTCATCCACAGTTCTGGAATGAGCAGCAAGCCAACTGTGCTTAATAATTAGATTGAGTCACATATACCAGCTCCATAGACATCTTCACACAGCAAGCAAAGATTCTTAGGGTAATGAAAAGGAACCATGCATTGACAGTCACTTCCTCTCCTTTCAGTGGTACCTGAAAATTCTGATGCTGCACCTTCAGCAGGGGGACAGAGAGAGCCACCAGAGAGAATAATGAAGGTAAGGTGGCTTTTCCTCTCTCTAAGCTAGAAAGGTTACATTATCCCCTTATGTTGTAGTGGATGTATCATTTGATTAAGAAAAGACTAGTGTATCATGGGTATGAAAGGGTTTGCTTAGAAAGAACAGGAAGTGGAATTGGACTAGCTTGTTCCTGAACATTGTACAAGTGAACATAGAAGCTTGCAGTGTCTTTTAGCACAGTCTGTATGAGGAAACCAGTTCTCCTGACGAAAAAAGTTCCTCTTTAGATAAATGTATGATTTAACTCAGAAGTTGACAACCACTTCTGGTTCCTGTAATTTTCATGAAGTCTGCGTATGTTCCACAGAGACCACTGTGAGGGAAGTTTCCAGTGTGTGGGTATTGAATGGTAAGGCATGAGTATTGGTGTAAATAATTGAGGCCCTGGTATAGAAAGGGTTAATCTCACAATCAGGTTATCAAGATGCTTAGCCATGTTGCAGTGTGCCTTAGGAAATACTCAGAAGAGACTAAAGAGTGTTATTTAATCTGGCCTTCAAGCCAGCAAAAATGAGAAGTGGCCCAAACTGTAGAGCCCCAGTTGTTCTGTGACACCCTCATATAACATACTAATATATAGGACTCTTGACCATTTTCACTGGCATCATACCATGT